TAATAAAAACTTTGAAAAAATTGTTATTCGTCGTCGCAACTGCGAAGATTAAAGAGCATGATTTTTAACTTTTCTATTGGGGTCTTTAACAAATATTTAAAACGTCCCATTTATAAATCTACGTAAGTTATATGCGTGTACAAAATTTCATAAAAATCAGTCAAAGCATAAAAAAAGTTGGACACATCGAAGCATGTACAAACTCTTCAATTGATTTTAGTTATAGTCTTCCTTCTTAATCGTTTGTACCTCATAGCTAGATTGTACATCTTTATACTAAATAGAATATTTTGAGAGAACATACAGTTTTGTTATAAATGCATAAAATCCGCAACCTACTTATAACAACATTAAAGGATTTCTATGAAACTTTGTACGTACACATGTGTAACTTGTTATATCTACAAACGGGACGTTTCGAACTTTTATTAGGGAATAAAAAAGATAAAAACTTTACTTTCCCTTCGCGATTCCAGTCTATAAACGTTTTTATCAAATGTTTTCACACAATAAACTAAGTTTTCTACAGTTCTACAGAAAACTTGTTGAATGTTGTCAATTGCGTTATTTGGTCCGATATTAAAAAAGTTATTCCGTTTTAAAATTCTCCCTATACTTTCTGGAACTATTGTATTCGTAAATTTTATACACGTTTTATTTGCAAAACGTGAGTTCTCACTCTTGCTTTGAGACTCCACAATGTTAAATATGCGAATCAACAAAAAAACTTAATTCAAATGTTTTGCATTTGATTAGTTTGGAGGATACTCATCGGATTCCTTGGCGGAACGAATTTTGGATTCAAAAGCGAAAATTTTAGTCACGTCTGACGGCGTTTGGAGAGGCGAAAAGCTACTGATTTTGAAGAACATTTGCGACGATGCTCTGAACAAGGTCAAGAAAAATGGACACGTCGTCGAATGCTGCGTAGTAGTCGCGCACCTGAGGAGATTGAATAACCCGCAGGGTACCAAGCCAGACACGACAGGTGAGGAAAATGCTTCCATCCTGCACTCTTATAATTTGATATCTCAAGAGTAAAACATACTTGTAAAGTCAAGAATGGTCAAAAGAGGAAGCGAGGTAGTAATTGTCTATATTTTGTTAAAAGGGAAAACGAACGGGGTGAATGGTACGAGTAACGGCAATGCGCCTGAGCTTCCCGAGATTAAATGGGACGACGATCGCGATGTATGGTGGCACGACGAGATGGAAGAGGCCGAAGATAAATGTTATCCAGTTTGGATGAATGCGGAAGATCCGCTTTTCATTCTATACACGAGGTTGGCACTCGGACAAAACAGCGTATGAATAATGATTTCGCATAAATGAGTGTGACATATTTTCAATTGCAGCGGTTCGACAGGGAAACCGAAGGGTGTCCTTCACACCACAGGCGGCTACTTAATTTATGCGGCGACTACGTTTAAATATGTTTTCGATTATCATCCTGGTGACGTGTACTGGTGCACAGCTGATATCGGTTGGATCACCGGTCACACTTACGTTGTGTACGGTCCATTAGCAAACGGGGCTACGTCCATTATTGTAAGTTTATAAAATAGATTAAGATCTTCTTAATCCAGTAGTGAATTGAATTAGGTTTATAATAATTTTTGACTGGTTACAAAATGAAAAGTAATATAATATTCAAATATGTACATTAATAATCGTTCACATTCTTTGAAACTCCATATTTCCATCCTATGCAACACAATCCCCATTACTAAATACTCGAACACGTACATACATTCTTCATTTTTAACTTTTAGAACAAACTGTCCGTAAACTCTCTCCTATTCCTCATGCCTGTCTATCTATCGCTCTTTCCGCTCTCTCTTTCAGAGACATCTCTTCATTCTATTCATGTAGTATTTTGTTTATTTGTAAGCAGTTAATGTTTATTAATTTTTAGTTCGAAGGTACACCATTTTACCCGGGAAATGACCGATACTGGGCGGTGATCGACAAGTACAAGGTTACGCAATTTTATACAGCGCCGACTGCGATCAGATCGTTGATGAAGTTCGGGGATGACTTGGTGAAGAAGCATAATTTATCTACTCTAAAGGTAAGATAGAAAAGAATACTGAACAGATTATAACGATATATGTTCGATGTACGATCTGATTTTAATTTATTAAAAATTGATCGGTTTAGGTTTTGGGTTCAGTAGGGGAGCCGATAAACCCTGAAGCCTGGCTGTGGTTTTACAATCTCGTTGGCCACGGCAAGTGTAGCATAGCGGACACGTTTTGGCAAACGGAAACCGGCGGCCACGTGATCACCCCTATTCCCGGTGCTACGCCAATGAAACCGGGTTCCGCGGTAAATTTCTATCTTGTATATCTTGAAATCAAAGCCAAGAGCTATACAATAAATTCGTGTAATCTACTCCTTGACAGACGTTCCCGTTCTTTGGCGTTTTACCAGAAATTCTAGACGAGGACGGCCACCTGGTAGAGGGTGAGGGCGAGGGCTACCTCGTGTTCCGTCAACCTTGGCCAGGGATGATGAGATCCCTTTACGGAAATCATCAACGATTCCAGAGCACGTATTTCGATAAATTCCATGGATATTACTGCACGGGTGACGGTAAGTTCTGACCAATCATCGTTGCTTAAAAATAATTATTTGGCCAAAGGATTTCTGTAATTAATGCCAGCATATCTCGCTTCCCTTCCCAGTTCTTCTTCGATTCTCAGTATCTGATTGTATTTAGCGATTCTCTCGCTCCTACAAGGCGCGCCTGCCTTGAACTGTCCGGCAGACAGACCTATAGCAAAGTCGGCTGCGAAATTGTCCTCGGTATCTCCTTCGCACGCTGACACGATGTATCCCCAATCGCTGATCCTCGCTATTTTCGCGCAGTTGATCGCTTCTGTTACGGTGCCAATCTGCGATACTCTTAACACAAGAGCATTCGCCATCTGCCTCTCAATAGATTCCTCGATTCTGTCGATGTTCATCGCGGTTAGGTCGTCGGCGACGATTTGCATTTGCTCCTGATCGGATAGTGTTAGCCATCCCTCCCAGTCTTCTTGATCGAACGGGTCCTCGATTGAAACGAGGGACGGAAATTCGGCGAAGTATTCCAAGTACTGATCTTTCAACGTTTCAGACTCCATGTAGTCATCAGGATCAGAGTCCTCCGTTTTAAATGCTAAATCATAGCCACCTATAAAAGCAGGATGTGATCGTTAGTTTAGCCCTATTAAACATTTATTGTTTAGGTATTAAAAAGCAAAATTGATTGATCTTTTTTAACTTTTTTATCGAAACTTGTAACGAAAATTTGAACAACACATTTTAAATCTTTATATGTATAAAATTTGTTGAAAATTTCATCAAAAGTTTCTTCACACATCGTGTAGTAAACTACTCCACCTAATTAGTTGAAATGATCGTTCCGTTCGATTTTATGAAAGCTATTAGCTCTAAATGTGTTGGTTCACTTTTGCTCTTTACTGTAGATAATAATTTATCTTAACCCTCTTTGTAAAAGGTACTGGCTGACATGTCCATTGCTATTTTAATTCTCCCTTCGTATCCAGCTTCTTTGATGGATTCATCTAATAGTAACAGAGCTTCCTTATCCTCTTCTAATTCCAAAGGCGTAAACGCGCCTTCGTCACTGACTGGTAGTGGTAATTGAATCTCCTGCGCGGTCGCAATTTTCTGTTCAAGCACCCTGTATACTTCTGTACCCATTTTCATAGCATCCGCGAAGCTTTCGGCTCCTGATAAAATTATCAATTATTATACAAGGTAGAGCATGTGAATATATCCGTCTAAATATCACATTCACTTGCGATGATAGTAAAAAAATTTTGAACCGTGCGAATAGTAATTTTTGTGTACTTCTCATAACATAGAAAAGAAAGGATTGTTCTGTGTTTCATGGTAAATTCTGTATGCTCACCTATGGGTAGAATCATAAATTCTTGACACGGTAGTGTATTGTTAGCGTGTCTACCACCACTGATCATGTTAAAGCTAGGGACGGGTATATATAGTTCACCATTTTCAGCTAATTCAGCAATATATCTGTATAGAAAAAAAGTAGTTTCAATGTATGAGAAACAATGATACTCTTTGAAGGCTTAATTTAATTAACACTAAACGCATCGACAGTTTCTGTTTATTATATGTATTTATATTTTGTACATTTCAATGCAATTTAATGTAAACACTTCAGTTTGGTAGCAGCTTAAGTAATAATTACAATTTTAACAATATAACAATACAGATTTCGTTTTCTTTTTATTTCTTATAGAAGAATTTAAAACGGATCTTTTGACCAGTGCCTGGTAGATTTAGTGTTCATAAGTGAATTGTTTTGATGAAATTACCTGTAAACCGGAAGCCCCTTCTTCGCGGCTCCTGCTTTACAACAGGCAACGGAGACTCCGAAGATCGCGTTCGCGCCGAGTTTCGATTTATTCTCGGTACCGTCCAGGCGGTTCAGCAAGCTGTCTATCTCTGTCTGCTGGCAGGCTTCCAGCCTCGATTTCAAAAGTTGCGGCGCGATTATGTTGTTCACCACGTCAACGGCTCTGAACACCGAACGGCCGTGGTACATGGACTCGTTTCCATCCCTTAGCTCTTGAGCTTGGTTCGGGCTCGGTACCAAAACGGACGGCACCGTTGATCTTAACAGCCCAACATCCGTGATCACATCCACCTCTAATGTAGGGTCACCCCTGGAGTCGAAAACCTGACGAGCTTTGACTTTCTGAATCGGCATTTTGTATTTTTCCTCGGAGCTATTTGGAAGTTAATTAATAATGGGTCGATGCGTGAATTAAGGAGAAGATGAAAGGATTTTAGTGTAGTCGATACATTATTGTTTGTTATCGAAAATTTTCTCGGATATTTTAGTTATGTCAAGACATGGTTGGGGCCATTTTTAACGTGAATAATTGAAGTTCGACACGTGTGAACCTCGTTCTTATATTCCTTTTCAAATTTTGGAACCTGAATTATTTTTAAGGATGTATTGGCTATACAGTCAGTCCCAAAA